CAGCAGAGGCCCGACTCACTAGGACCTGGGGTGAGGACCTTAGACACTCAGAGTGTCTTTTCTGAGTACAGAGTGGACTGTGGCAGCCTCCGGGGGTCCTAGGTGGGGCACTGGGTCCTGCATCTTCCTTTAAGTTTTTATTAGCATGCTGTACATAATAATGGTCATGACATTTTCATAACACACATAATGTTCTTTACTCATATTCATCCCATCACTTTTCTTGTCCCCTCCCACTCCTCCCAACCAGCACCCACTTCTACTTTCACGACGTGTGTGTGTGTGTGTGTGTGTGTGTGTGTGTGTGTGATGCTTTCAGAGCATGGATGAGGGGCTGTTCACAGGGCCATGTGCCCATCACCGTTGAGGAATGGTTCCTCCTCTCCTGTTAATTCAGGCAGTGTTGAGCTCCCTTCCCCCCAGCCGCCATTAACTGCCTACCAACCCTTAGAGATGGCTGTGGCCTCCTTGGCCTCTCCCTCAGCTGCCATTAACTACCTGTCGACCCTCAGGGAGGTGATTTCAGTGACTTCTGCTGCATGAGCCTTGGTTCTGCCTAATTCTAAATGTAAGGAAGAGGAAGAAGGTTATAGGTGAGCCGGCTCATCCCCGGGAACCACACTGTGGCTATGGAGTTGCCCTCTGGCTTGCATATGCACTCCATGGCACACATTTGTCCACACATGCACACACACTGCACACTCACACTATGAATAAATAAATGCGACTTGTAAAGCCAAACAAAAAACGGAGGAGAGTCCGGTCAAGGAAGGTCACGTGGGCTCTTTCGGAGGACGGTCCCCCGTTTAGGCAGGGAGTATATACACACAGCTTGACTCATTACCGTGGTCTGTGAATGGGCTATTTTTCTTTTAAATTAGTGAGGAGTAGAGCTCACGGTGTATTAGCTCATTTTCTCACACTTCAATAAAAAAATTGGTTGAGTGGGAAGAGAAGGGAGTGTGCAGCAGGAGTCCCCACGGCTGCTCCTGCCTCAGCTCCTGGGCAGTGCCTCTGTCTGGGATCCGCAGCAGTCATGCAAATGACGGATTTCATATTGCTTTCCTCTCCAGAAGACACTCATGGTGTCTATAGGTTGGACTGGGCTTGGTGGACAGAGCGCTTGCCCTGCATGTACAAAGCTCTTGGTTCCTTCCTTAGCGCAAACCGAGTGAGCATGGAGCATATGACTGTTAACCTGCAGCTCATGAGGTGGAGGCAGGAGGATCAGGATTTCATCATCATCCTTGGCTATGATAGGGGGGTCAAGGCCAGCATGGGCTACATGAGCGCCTGCCTCAAAACAAAAACAAACATGCTAACTAAGACCAGACTCCTCCACTTCTCAAATCATGGCCACTGTTCACTGCCATTTGCCTAGACCTGAGCAGCCACTGGGCTGGACTCCTCAGCCAGTTTCTAATTCAGAGGGCATCTCTCTTCTGCTTAGGCCCCTCCGTGGCTACCATGACACTCAGACCGGAAACCAAACTCCTTCGCTGTCACATTGTCACTTCCCCACCCTTGCCCCGCTTCGCTTGGCCCCTTGCTCACTCTGCTCTGGTCACCCAGGTATATCCTCCTACCTATGTCCCTACCTCAGGTCTTTACCATTGCTGCTCCTCCTGCCCGGAACACTTTCCATATACACGACGTCTCCCCATCTTCCAGTCTGCACTCAAATGACACCTGAAGTCACACCCTGAAGGGCACTTGCTTCCCCCACATCCTTTTTTCCTTGTATTTCTTCTGTCTATACTGCTCAACAATTTTAAATATTTGATCTTTGTTTATTTCTATCTTTATATGTTTCCTCCAGTTTTTAGAATGTGTGCCGGTGTGCATAGGTATATGTAACAGGCACATGGGGAGACCAGAGGGCAACCTCAGCCTCAGCATACCTCACCAGGAGCCATTCATCTGTTTTTGAGACAGGTCTTTCCACTAGTCTGGAGCTCACCAAGGAGGCTGAGTTGACTGAACAGCACAGAGATCCTCCTGTCACCATGCCCCTAGAACCTGCACCGCCAGCTGTGGCTTTTTTTTTTTTTTTTTTTTGTGGGTTCTGGGGATCCAGGCCTGGATCCTCATGCTAATACAGCAAGCTCTTTATCCACTGAGCCGTCTCCTCTGACCTAGATGTCTGCTCTCTAAGAAGCTCCCTCCACCTTTTAGTTCTGAAACAGGATTTCCTTAAGCACTACCGGGAGATGGCTGCATTGATTCAAACTTGGTGTGGATACCAGAGCAGCTTGACCCATTCCAGCACAGAGCTCCTGCACTTCAGCAGCCTCCCAAGTAGCTGGGCCTACAGGAGTGCACCACTGCACCAGACTGAAGCAGGCTCTCTCTAAGGAGCCGCAGCAGGCCTCCAACTTATGATCCCCCTGCCTCAGCCCCAAGTGCTGAGTTTACAGGCATGCACATCCAGCTCAAAGTTACCACTTTTTAAAAACAGTGGCCATTCTTAGGGCCCTTTGCACACTGAGGTTTACAGTGCTGAATGTTTCCCTTTCTGGGACTGGGGCTCAGTGGGCAGAAGGCTGGCCTATCATGTAGGAGCACCTACTAAACAAGGGTGATGGTGCATTCCTGTAATCCCAGCACTCCACAGGGTGAGGCAAGTGGATCACAAGTTCAAGGTCACCTTCAGCCACACAGTTAGTTCAAGGCCAGCCTGGGCTTCCTGAGACACAACACGCATGTGGCAATCCAAAGACAATCTGAGTTTCAATCCCCGCTGTCTACCTTGTTTGAGACAGTGTCTTGTTCATCCCTGTATATGCCAGGGTATAAGGTCCAAAGCTTCCAGGGATTCTCTTGTCTGCATCTTCCACATTGATGTAGTAGTGTTAAGATTACAGACATGCTCCACTGTGTCTAGTTTCTATGGGTTGAAGGGATCCAAACCCAGGTCCTCACAGATGTATTTACCTCTTGAGCCATCTCCCCTACCTCTTTTTGTTTGTATGTATGCATGTGTGTGTGCACATATGCACATATACATGTGTGTGGAGATCAGAGGAAGACCTCAGCCGGTGATGTTCCTTAGGTACTTCCCACCTTCTCTTTGAGGCAGGGCCTCTCATTGGCCTACAGAGTTGTCCAGTTGGACAGTATGGTCAGCAAGCTTCCAGGGACCAGCCAGTCTCTGTTCCTGACTTTTTTCATGGACTCTTGACATCTGAACTCAGGTCCTCAGCATGCAAAGCCATCTCCCCGGCAAAAGGTTTCTGCCCTTCCCAGCAAGATAGAGGGGGCCTCTTTGGGTTCCTACTCTCTGACTACAGCCTTTCCTCTGCAGACGCTCTTCCAGAGTCCAGAAGAGGGCTGGCAGCTCTACACCTCAGCCCAGGCACCTGATGGCAAATGCATCTGCACAGCTGTGATCCCTGCACAGAGCACCTGTGCCCGAGATGGTCGGAGCAGAGAGCTTCGGCAGCTCATGGAGAAGGTAGGGATCTGACAGGAGCCGAGGGGAGAGCGGGGAGGCATCTCCATCTAGGCTGAACCACAGCAGATCCAGCCAGGTGGATTGTTCTAAAGTGGCCAATGATTGGGATCCCATCTATGTAGATTTTGTATTTGTTCATTTTTCCTTTTTCTTTGATTTTTATTAAATATTCTTTATTCATTTATTTTTGAGACAGGGTTTCTCTATGTAGCCCTGGTTATCCTGGAACTTACTCTGTAGACCAGACTGGCTTCCATCTTAGAGATCCAATTGTTTCTGCTCCCCAAGTTCTAGCTCTTAGGGAGCCAGGAGTATCATGGGCAGCATTAAGTTCCTTGCGCTCTCAGGCCTGGCAGCCAGTGTTCCATGCAGCCTTGGGTCACCATGCTAAGAAAGTACTTGGTGTCCTTTTCCAGCAAGGGTCTAACCTGTACTGCTGAGGCTCAGCAAAGATTCTGCAGTTGGGAGCGGCAGTGCACACTTATAACACCGGGGCTTTGTAGGCCGAGGCACAACAAGTGCCACAAATTTGAGTCCAGCTTGGGCTACGTAGGAAGATCCTATTGGGTAGGAGGTTGGGAAGGGTGGTAAGTTGCCACCAAGCCTGATGACCTGAGGTCCCGCATGGTTCGAAGAGAGAATGAACCCCCACAAGGTGTACTCTGGCACACACCAAACAAACAAACAAATGTAATTTTCAAATACTTTAAAGGGGAGGGCGAGGCTAGGGATATGGCTCAGTGGGTCATATGAGTAACATGGACCTGAGTTCACATACCCAGTACCGACATAAAAGCTAGGTCTGGCAGTGTATGTCTGTAACCCTGGTGCTAGGAAGGCAGACAGGCACAGCTGGGAACTTGAACCAGTCTGGCTGAAGTGTGAGGTTGGGGACCCTGTCTCAAAAAACAGGTGGAGAGTGATTGTGGAAAATAACCAACATCAGTCTCTGGCCTCCAGACACACTTATGCAGATATGTATGCACACAAAAACATACACACATGTGTATGCACACACTCATAAACACACTTAGATATACAGATATATACACACATGCACGCACACACACATGCACACACGAGACTCCTTTTCACCCTGGCTGCCTCCACTTCATCTGTCCCCAGGATGTTTTGGACTCTTTGCTGACTAAAGTCCCTGTCACTGTCCATTTGTCAGCTGTGATGCCTGCAACCCTCACTGAACAGAGGAGGAAGCTGAGACTTGGCAGAGAGGAGTCACCTGGGCACCTGCAACCCCTGCCACTGGCTCCCAGAATCCCTCTCTGCCCCAAAGCTGTGGACTCTCATGCCACGCCTTTGATTGCTCATAGTGGCATGACTGGCATGTACCTCAGGGTCTTGTATAGCTTAGGGCAGCGGTTATCAACTTGTAGGTCTCGATACTTTGGGGGGTGTTAAATGACCCTTTCACAGGGGTCTCCTGAGACCATCAGAAAACACAGATATTTACATTATGAATCATAACAGTAACAAAATTACAGTTATGAAGTAGCAATGAAAATAGTTTTATGGTGGGGGGGTCACCACAACATGAGAAATTGTACTAAAGGGTCGCAGCATTAGGAAGGTTGAGAACCACCGGCCTAGGCTGCTCTTGAACTCACTACGTATACAATGATAACCTTGGACTTCTCATCCTCCTGGCTCCATTTCCAAGTGGTTTGTATTACAGGAATGCACCACTATGCCCAATTTATGCTGCAGCCCAGGGCTTTGTGATGCAGGCAAGGCCTGAGTCACAGCCCCAGTATGCTCTCGCCTCTACCGTTTGTTCATTTGTTTTTTATTAGAAGCAAGGTTCCATTCTGACCCAGACTGACTTGAGATTCATTCCGTAGCGGCAGTCCTCTTACTTTAGCTTCCTGAGTGCTGGGATTACAAATGTGACCCACCACTCCTGGCTCCTTTTGAGGCTACCCTTGAAATTCCGATTCTTTGGCCTCTACCTCCAAGTGCTGGGATAATAGATGTGCGCCACTACGTTTGGTTCTGATCTTCATTTTGGAAAACACCCTCTGCTTTGCTGTGTGGTGAACTTACTACAGGTCAGGAGGGCGGAAGCCGAGAGACAGAGGAGGTGACAGGTATGAAGGGATGGGACTGGATGGAACCTGCTATTGGAAGGTTGCTGGTGAGACCAGGGGAGAGGAGGGCTGCCAGGTGTCTTTGCTGGTCCTGCTTGACTCTGTTTCTGTGAATGGCTGGGAGGAGGACTTTGACTCCAGAATGGTTCTCATTCTAGGTCCAGAATGTGTCTCAGTCCATGGAGGTCCTTGAGTTAAGGACATATCGAGATCTCCAGTATGTTCGCAGCATGGAGACGCTCATGCGGAGCCTGGATGCAAGGCTCAGGGCAGCTGATGGGTCAGTCTCAGCCAAAAGCTTCCAGGTGGGTTCTTCTGAGTTCCAAGTATGGGGTCCTGTCTGGGAAGACATGAGGAGCTGACTAGGCTCTGGGGTCCTGAGGGCGTCCTTTGGCAAGGACTGAGCATTGCATCTGAGATGACAGGGTGAAGGTATGGGCCAAGGGCCAGGGTTTGGGATCGGAGGTCATTTTCTCCTGGTAAGCAGGAACTGAAAGACAGGATGACAGAGCTGCTGCCCTTGAGCTCGGTGCTGGAGCAGTATAAGGCAGACACGCGGACCATTGTGCGCCTGCGGGAGGAAGTGAGGAACCTTTCTGGCAATCTGGCTGCCATCCAGGAGGAAATGGGAGCCTATGGGTACGAGGACCTGCAGCAACGCGTCATGGCCCTGGAGGCACGACTCCATGCCTGCGCGCAGAAGCTGGGTATGCCTTGACCCCGAAGCTTGGCCCCTGATCCCCGCACCCAACCTTAATGCTACCTGTGTGCTCCAAAGCTAGTGTGGTTTGGCATCTAACTGCTAAACCTCCCTGTTTGGTATCCCCAACCCAAGTCCACACCGGGCCCCAAAGCTGGAAGTGGTTTTGGTTCTTTATCTCCATCCCTTTATGCCCATGTTGACATCCTTGGATCATACCCTGGATATCTCCTCACTGACCCTTGGCCCCAGCACTTCCCAATGCAAACAGTGTCCTGCCTCCCATGAGCTCTTGCTGCATCCTCTCCTCACTCCTACTGTTCCCATCTCCCAGGCTGTGGGAAGCTGACAGGGGTCAGTAACCCCATTACCATTCGGGCCATGGGGTCCCGATTCGGCTCCTGGATGACTGACACAATGGCCCCCAGTGCAGACAGCCGGGTGAGTGATCCTATCCCCAGGGGCCAGAGCCAGTGACTGCATACAAGGGCCCAGAGAATCCACACTTGTGACTCTTATTTAGGTTTTATTTTTATTCATTTTATTTGTGGGGGTATATTGGGCAGGAGTGGTAGGGTGCATGACTGCAGTGCTATTGAAAGCCAGAAAAGTGCACTGGACTTACTGGTGTCTGTGGGCCAGCTGATATGAGTGCTGGGAACTTAACTCAGGTCCTCTGCAAGATCAGTAAGTAATCTTAACTGTTGGCTTTTTTTTTCTTTTCCTTTTTTCTTTTGAGACAAAGTCTCCCTCTGTAGAGCAGGCTGACCTCAAACACTGAGGTCTACCCGTGTCTGCTTTTTGAGAGCTGAGATCAAGGGGACACATTCTGAGAACTGCACATTTACACAACCTTGTTGTGGTACAGACGTCAGAGTACTTGCACTGCTGAAGATGGCATGGGGGTCACGGAGGGAGACAGCTTAGTGGGCAAGAATGCTTGCTGCACAAACATGAGGACTGAGTTCAAACCCTCAGTACCCATATAAAAAGTCATGAGTGGCCTGTGTACCAGTGCTGTGGGGAGCAGAGACAGGAGGCTCACTGGGGCTTACTGGTCACCAGCTCCAGGTTCAGTTAGAGTCCCTGTCTCAAAGAAGGTGGAGAGTGACACAGAGGGACACCCAATGTCCTCCTCAGGTCCCTGTCTGTGTCATTTCTGTAGTTGATAAAGCACTCTGACAAAAAGCAAAATTAGGGAAGAAAGGGGCTTAGTTTAGCTTACAATTCCAGGTTAAAGTCTACCTTTGTAGAGAAGTCAAAGCAGAAACTTAAAACAGCTAGTCGTCACCCCACAATCATGGTCAGGATCAGAGGGAAATGCGTGCATGCATCTTGCTTGTTTGTGCTCAGCTCAACCTCTCCATTCTCATACATTTCAGGACTCCTTGTCTAATAAGCGATGTTGCCCACAATGGGCTGGGTCTTCCCACTTTAATGAACAATAAAGACAGTCCCCTATAGTCATGCACACAGGCCAACTCAGTGTAGGCAATCTCTCACTGAGACTCACTTCCTAGGTTGTTTCAAGCTGACATTTAAGCTAAGCATCATGAACTAGAGAGATGGCTCAGTGGTTAAGAGCACCGGCTGCTCCTATGGAGGTCCTGAGTTCAATTCCCAGCATCCACATGGTGGCTCTCAACCATCTGTAATGGAATCTGATGCCCCCTTTTGGCATGCAGGGGCACATGTAGATAGAGCACACATACATAAAATACATAAAAATAAACCTTAACGAGCTAGCCATCACGAGGATGGTCAAGTGTCACAGAGCACAGGCAGTAACTCAACACCTCTTCACTGTGATCACTGACCTCGACTGATGACGACGGTCCAAGCGGTTGGTTAGCTTGGAATCAGATTTGCACTTATCTAGTCCTGTGCGTTCTTAGGCAGGGACACCTGGGCGAGAACCTCAATATCATTCCTCTAATTACCTTATCCTCAGTGTGGTCCCTCAATATTGGACCTGAGCTGGATAATGAGGGCATTCACGAGTGCTTTTTAGCGTGGTGGTGATAATGGCGCTGCTGAGACATTCAATGGCATGCCAGGCGACCTTGTGCTTACTGGAGTTAGCCATTGACAATGAATTTGGGCCAGGCATGATGGCATACCCCTTTAATACCAGCACTTGGGAGGCAGAGGATCTCTATGAGCTCAAGGCCAGCCTGACCTACATAATGAGTTTCAAACCAGTTTGGGCTACACAGTAAGACTCTATCTCAAAAAACAAAACAAAACAAGAACAAACAACTCCCAACCATACAAAACTTCAAAGTGATCCCTTATTATCCAATAATGTTACTTAGTGAGTACTCTCAGCCCGGTGAGACCCTGTGAGACTCACCAGTGACCCCCGTGAGTCTCCTGGGTGCACAGTGCTCCCTGATCCTTCGAATCACCACCACTCATGAGGATCTTTTTGTTGTGTGTGTTCATAAAGGTGTGTGCACAGGCAGGTGTGTGCCAATGCACGTGAAGGCCAAGGTCAACAAGAGATGTTTTTCTCTATTGCCTCCACTTTGTCTTTTTCCTTTTAGTGTGTGTGTGTGTGTGTGTGTGTGTGTGTTGTACACATTTGTGTGCAGGCATGTGAACTCACCAGAGGAGGCCATCAAGTGCCCTGTTCTATGTTCTCGGTCTTAGTCCCTAGCTACAGACTCTCTCACTAAATCTGGAGCTAGGCTGGCAACCAACAAGCCCCAGTGAGCCTCGTCTCTGCCCTCAAAAGCATTGGGGTTACAGGAACATGTAGCCATGCCAAGATTTTCAGATGGGTTCTGGGTTCCAACTTAATCTTCATGTTTGCAAAGCAGGTTGATTTCCCCACTAACTCATCTTTCTGATCCCTCTACTCTCCCCCTTCCCCTACCTAGTCAGGATTTCTTTAAAAACTTGCAGCCTATCAATATGGCTGTGCAGGCTGGTCAATGAGCTCCAAAGATCTGTCCCTGACTCTCCCAGCACTGAGGATACAGCTATGTGCACCACTATGTCCAGCTCTTTTGGGGATCCGAACTCAGGTTCTCATGCTTGAGTGGCAAGCACTTTACCCCCTAAACTGCCTTCCCAGGCCCATTAATGCTCACAATCGCCAAACCATAACCAGTCACAAAGGTCATAGGAAGGACTGTGACTGAGTACTGACACAGATGATGGTTGTTTGCTGATGATCAAGGTTGATCTTGCCTGGTTGGTCAGTCCCCGAGGGACACAGGTTACAGTCTCTCCAGTGACTGGCTACTGCTCTTGTAGGTCTGGTACATGGATGGCTATTACAAAGGCCGCCGGGTGCTGGAGTTCCGTACTCTGGGAGACTTCATCAAAGGCCAGAACTTCATCCAGCACCTGCTGCCGCAGCCGTGGGCAGGTACGGGCCATGTGGTGTACAACGGATCTCTGTTCTACAACAAGTACCAGAGCAATGTGGTGGTCAAGTACCACTTCCGGTCGCGCTCCGTATTGGTGCAGAGGAGCCTCCCTGGGGCTGGCTACAACAACACCTTCCCCTATTCCTGGGGTGGCTTCTCGGACATGGACTTCATGGTAGACGAGAGCGGGCTGTGGGCTGTGTACACTACCAACCAGAATGCGGGCAACATCGTTGTCAGTCGGCTGGACCCTCACACCCTGGAGGTCGTGAGGTCCTGGGACACCGGGTACCCCAAGCGCAGTGCCGGGGAGGCCTTCATGATCTGCGGCGTCCTCTATGTGACCAACTCTCACCTGGCCGGAGCCAAGGTCTACTTTGCATACTTCACCAACACGTCCAGCTACGAGTACACGGATGTGCCCTTCCACAACCAGTACTCGCACATCTCCATGCTGGATTACAACCCCAGGGAGCGGGCCCTGTATACCTGGAACAACGGGCACCAGGTGCTGTACAACGTCACCCTCTTCCACGTCATCAGCACTGCCGGGGACCCCTAGGCGTCCCTGCAAAGGCTGTGGGGATCCTTTCCACATTGCCTGTGACCCCCTCAACCTTCTCTTGGCCATGCCCTTCCCTTCCTAAATTCCTTCTCTCCACCTTCCCAGTCCAGCTTTCTGTTCTCTATCTGTGCTTTTTCTCCATTTTATTGATCTTTTGATACTTCACTTCTGAGTCTTTCTGCCTTTTTATGGATGCTTCTCTTCCTTATGACCAAACCCCTCTCTTCTCCCTCAGCCCACTCTCCATCCTTCCCTTCCCTCCCTGTTTCCCACACATTCCTTATCCCTCACTCCCTCCCTACCTCTGCATGGATTTTTTTTTTCTTAATTTACATTTTCTTTCCGGGTTGCCAGAATAAACCGGACCTTTGACATCTGATGCCTGGGTTGCTCTGTACCCAGTAGTGGTTCGAGAAGGAGACTTGACTCCACTGACTCCTTTTATTCCCTGTGCTTAGAGTGGACCTGAGGTGGAATCCTGTAACGCCCCTTCCCCCAGAGAAGCCCACCCAATTCAAAGGTGTTTCAGTCAAAAGCAATTCATTTAAAAGCAATTGGGATCAGAACAGAGAACCCTATTATGATGATGAAAACTGGTCTTAAATGCATATTCCCTGGTTGCTGGCTCACTCATTGATCTCAGTAGCGCATCACTGGGCTGTCTGATGATGTTCTAATGGCTTCTTAATAATTTGGCTGCTTTTGAGAAAGGTGAGGCCCTTCAATTTCTTCTGTGCTTTGTAATTGCGGAAATCTTTTCTACACAAGTCATGCTAGTTAATAGCAAGATTACAAGTAACTTAAAAGGTGCACAGGGCCAGGTTTTGGGCAAATCCACTACACTCCACATGAGAATTCTTTTGCCTATAAAAGGCTAGGACAGAGTCCTGGGAGTTGGTTAGGCTGAAGTGGATTCCTCCTTAGGTAACCTCTTGGACCTAGCAATTATTTCTCATTCTTCCTTAATAAATCTATTCACTGTGCAAAACAAAACAAAACAAAACAAACAAACAAAAAAAAAACCACCAACAGAAAACAGGAAAAGGGAGGTAGTAGGACAGGGCTAGACAGTCAGAGAGGCCTGGTGTTCCTGAGCTGCTCAAAGGCAGGACTGGTGGTAGCAGTGCTGGAATAAGATAAAGGATTCATTAGGAAACGGGTCCATGCAGCACAGGCTGGTCTTTTGTAGCTAAAAATGACCTGGGGTTTCTGATTCTCCTGCTTCTACTTCTACCACCACACCTGGTTTATATGGTGCTGAGGATGGAGCCCAGGGCTTCATTCATGCTAGGCAAACACTTTGCCAATTGAGTCACAGCATGAGGGCTTAAATGTCAGCCTCTGCCTGTGGGATGAGGTCAGAGCAGTGGTTCTCAACCTGTGAGTCTCGATCCCTCGCCAAACTTCTATCTCCAAAAATATTTAAGGTTTAGAACAATGGCAAAGTAAGATATGAAGTAGCAATGAAAATAATTTTACAATTGGGGGTCCCCACCACATGAAGAATTGTATGAAAAGGGCAGGGATGATGTGCAAGGCTTTCACACCATCCCTGGAAGGGGGCAGTGATACAGGCTGCCTTCCCATTCCCCATGTTAGCCCCCTGAACCCAGAGCAGGAACAGCATGTGATGATCTCCAGTGGTCCTGACCCCATCCTGCTGAGGCCACCAGGAGGCTGCTGTCCCCATCTCTAATTAATGGCCTCTGTGATTAAATCATCTCCGGGAACTTGGACTTGGATGCCATACTGGGAAGGAAATCCATGAATAATGAATGGGGCTGCCTAATGCACTCATTTAAAACCAATTTCTAAAGGCATCCTCACGAAGAGCAATTAATTCCCACGTAAATGAACAAGCATGACATGGGGGAGGTAACGTCCTGGGTTAGCATGGGAGACAGACTAAAAACAGCAGAGGCTTGGAATGGAGGAACCCACTAGTCATCCCAGTTCTTGGGAGGCTGATGCCACCTGGGTGAGACCTTGTTTCAAAATCCCAAAAAAGAAAAAGAGTTTGTATGTTTCCCGCCTGTGACTTGTGCTCAAGGAGGTCATGGTCTCAGATATGCAGAATGTAGTTGCAACCAAGGCTGTGGAGTTCTAGCCTTTGCAGAGTATACCTGCGCCTAAAGACATGTTCCCACAAGGACAAGTCTGATGCAAATAGGTCTGTCTCATGTGGGCATGGGGTGTTCACTTGGGCCAGAGCACCTGGCAGCACATACCCACTGCATCACTCTTACACACATGCACACAAACTGTATACACATGTAAACACTTGAATGCATATGTATGTGCATACATACAAAGGATAAGCAAGCAGTCCTATCCTCCTCACTCATCCATCACAGCCAGATTCATTTATGTCTGTCTTCTGTGGTGCTGAATTAACCAACTTTCCCTAAATCAGAGATGAGCATCTGGCTAGTCAGTAGGCTGCCATTCCCTACTGCAACAATAACCCCGAATCACCAGTGTCTGGTCTAAGAGCCCATTAAGAATGAGCAGTGGAGTCTGCACAAAGACAAGTTTCAATCCCCAATAGGGGGTGGGGTGAGGGGAGAGAGGGAAGGAGGGGTGCTAAACTGTTGCCATCCTAAAGGCCTAGGATTTATAGCCAGTTCCCTAGCAGGCCTGGGTGGGAACTTGGAGCAGGTGAGGAAAACCACATGTTGGGGACACTGAGTGGGCTCCTGGGGCACATTTATCTAACAGCCATGTTCAGTCTTGGGTTTTCACCACTATATAAAGACAAGGGAAGGGGTTGGCTGGGGTCGAAAAGGACAGACCCCACATGGAGGGTCGGGGTCATAGAGAACACAGATACCAAGTCCCAAGGCCATATACGGGATACAAATTACCACTGTGGTAATGCCTGCTTTTCACAGGCAGTGGTTCAGATGTGGCAGTAGCCCTGGGGAGATCCTTCCAGAGCTCTTGATATTGCAAGCCAGGATAGGGGTCCTCTCCTCCCCCACAAAGGCACCATCATACTTGGAGGGGTTCCACTGCCTCCTGAGCCCACCCAACTGTTTCAAGACAGTAAAGCTGTGACTGCTTGCCTTGAGTACCCACTGGCCCACAGGAGAACATTTTGCTGGAGGTATAGCCAACTCAGCTCAGCCTGTGCCCGCCTGAGCTGGGAAGAAACTCATTAAACCTTCCTAATGACAAATGCTCCAGCAGGCAGCTGGCAAAGAGCGATTGCTGGAGAAAGCAGCCAGATTGGGAGCTCAGGTGACTTCATGAGACTCAGGCCTGTGGGGAGGGAGGGCTCCCTTGGGGTCCAGGCTTAATATTGTTTTGGTCTCTAAGCCTTACTGGTTGCAGCCACCCCCACTAACCAGGCTGGCCTCATCACTTGTAGGTTAGACAGAACCTTATTGAATTCTGTGCCCTCGGGTCAAGCTAGGCTCAGGGGCAGTCTTAGGAGACATGGGCCCCCTAGCCAAGGTGGGGCAACCCGTTCCTTCTTCTCCTAGCTGCCACTCAAAGCAACATCCATTCCCCAGCTCCCTCTACCAGGATCCCTGTTCTTCTGGGAACTGACAAAGCCCCCCCCTTTACTACAGTCGAAGGGGCCTCTGTTGTCATGGAAACAGCATCTGGAGGGTGCTAGGTCTGGTGGCTGAACCCAGGAATAACCAGCCAGAAGTGGGTGGCAGATGCTGGATGCAATATGTTCTCACCAGTAAGCAATCTCTGTGTGTGCTGGGGATGGGGTGTGCCAAGGCAGGTGCTGAGCCAGGTTCCCCCCAGGATCTCTCCAGATCTACCAGATGGAAGTGGGGTGTGCAAGGGTGGTCTGTGTGTCCTTGAACAGTTTCCAGGGGAGCTGGCATAACTGGGTATAGATCGGTGGGGCCCAGAGGTATCTTGCTGCCCTGGAATTCTATCTAGTGGAAAAAATTCTTGCCATCACCCCCAGGCCCTGGAAAAGGTGGCTTCTTAGGACTGGAAAACAGTTTGGACACCTGGGCTTGGGGCATGGAGAATGACAGTTCCCTCCCCGAGACAGGGCCTCACACCTCACGGCGAAGGTAATGAGATACAAGATCACCAACCAGTGGTTCCAGATTTAATGGAGGGTGCATGGGCGCTGCATCACACCCCGAGGCTGAGGTGCTGCATCGCTAGGTGTAGAGCGTCTGCTTTTTGCAACTGAACAGAGGAACAGAGCATAAAACTAACAAGAAACGAGGCCCTCCTGCCTGCCTCTGAGACCTGGGTGTCAGGTCACCTCTGACCCCCTGAGCCTGGGGGCTTCCACAACCCCATTGCCCTTCTGAAGTTAATTCCTTCAGAAGAAGCCTGGCTAGGACAGCCCCAAATGGGGTCAAACAGGAAGTAGGAAGCTCAGTTACTATCTCAGAGCCCCCCTCCCAGCCATTTTAGGAACAATAAATACTGAGTGACAGTAGCAGGAAGGGCGTCCATGGGCTACTCGGCAGCCCGAGCAGGCTGGCCAGGCGCCTGCCCTCATTCTGTGCGTAGGATGATATGGATGCCCGAATCTGTGAACACTGGCCCACTCATCTCCCCTGTCCGTAGAGCAAACGACGCATCCTCAAACGGTTTCTGCATCTGACCTGTGAGAAATAGCAAAGGCAGTGGGGGTCAGGCACAGGCTGCATGACAGATGGGGCTCCTGCCTGCGCCTAGTCTCAAGCACATTCATCAGAGGGTTTATGGCCCTGTCACTGTGCAGTGCTGAGCTGTGGCTCTGGGAAGCCCAAGGACAGCATGAGGGATGGCTGGCAGAGTTGTGCTCTTAGACATACTGCATGATGAACTCTCCTGGCTTCCAGCTGAACATCATCTGTCCTGCAGGTAGCTTGGGCTGACAGCAGAGGGCCTCACTAGGCTCCCTCTCCCAGGCAGGTGCCCAACACCTCACATTTCCAGCCCATGCAAAGGAGATGAAGGAGGAAAGGGAGGAGGGAGAGATCCTGATTCCCTCTGCCCTTGGCAGACCAGTCTGAGCTCTGGGCTGCCCATCTGGACCTGACCCTGCCCACTTTCCACACCTGCCAAAGGGGAAAATAGGATTCTGGGTGACAGGAGAACAGGAGTTCTCAGGGATCCCGTCCTATAGTTCTGCTAGTAGATGCCAATGACAGAACAGAGTCACCTTGATGGGCCTATGAAGGGACAATGATCTTGGGAGAAGGTTTTACACATTCCTTTTGCAGCACAAGAAACACAGGCCAGGAAGCCTGAGGGCTGTGCTGCCACCTGGTGGACCATGAAGGCACAGAGTAGGGTCTCCCTTCCTTCTTGGGCTCAACCCAACATCATAGGGAAGGGACTGAGTGTGCTTCTTGCCCACCTCTGCTGAAGGCACCAAGGTCTCCCCTGGCTTTGGCAGAGCTGCAG